GGGAATGCTGGGATTGATTTTGGGGGTAATTGCCTCAAAATATTAGGAATTAGGGGCCAAAAAAGGGGCAAAAAACAAGCATTTTTCTAGTTTCATGACAATAACTTGTGTGTAAGTGTATGGATCTTTCTGAAATTGTACTACAAGGTTCCATATCACAAAGGGAAAGCTGGAATTGAGTTTAGGGGTAATTGCCCAAAACGTTTAGGAATTAGGGGCCAAAAATAAGCATTTTTCTAGTTTCCAGACAATAACTTGTGTTCAAGTGTATGGATCTCTCTGAAATTGTACTGCAAGGTAACATACCACAAAGGGAAGGCTGGGATTGAGTTTGGGGGTGATGAATCATAAGGGGGTTCTAAAAATTTGGGGGGAGGATTTTGTTTTTTTTTTTTCCTTTTTTTTCTTTTTTTCCTTTTTTTTTTCTTTTAAAATTTTCCATTTTAAGTTGGTTATTTCTGTTTTATATTTAAAAGCAAATAATAATGATATGGTAGGAGATACACACCAAACAGGATGTGTAAATTATTATATATTAAGTATTGTGCAATAGCAAGAAATTTTCAATTGCACAGTATTGCACAATAGCAAGAAATCTTCAATTGCACAGTATTGCGCAATATCAAGAAATCTTCAATTGCACAGTATTGTGCAATAGCAAAAAATATCCAATAGCACAATATTGCGCAATAGCAAGAAATTGTCAATTGTACAGTATTGCGCAATAGCAAGAAATATTCAATTGCACAGTATTGTGCAAAAGAAGATACTTCGTATAAATTGCTTATTTCTTGACCAATTTCAATGGGGTTTTATTCTTGAATTCTTGGGGTTCTTTAATATGCTGATTCTAACCGTGTATTAAGTTTTTGGATTTTGGGCCCCGTTTTTAAATTGGTCTACATTGAGGTCCAAAGGGTCCAAAATTAAACTTTGTTTGATTTCATAAAAAATTGAATTATTGGGGTTCTTTGATATGCCGAATCTAACCATGTATATAGATTTTTGATTATGGGCCCAGTTTTCAAGTTTGTCCAAATCGGGGTCCAAAATTAAACTTTGTTTGATTTCAACAAAAATTGAATATATGGGGTTCTTTGATATGCTGAATCTAACCATGTATTTAGATTTTTGATTTTTGGGCCCCATTATCAACTTTGTCCACATTGAGGTCAAAAGGGTCCAAAATTAAACTTTGTTTGATTTCATCAAAAATTGAATTCTTGGGGTTCTTTGATATGCTGAATCTAACCATGTATTTAGATTTTGGATATTGGACCATAATAGGTGAATGTCCAATTTAAAATTTTTAAGTTCTGTGTCAGAAACCTATGCTGTGTCAAATATTTAATCACAATCCAAATTCAGAGCTGTATCAAGCTTGAATGTTGTGTCCATACTTGCCCCAACTGTTCAGGGTTCGACCTCTGCGGTCGTATCAAGCTGCGCCCTGCGGAGCATTTTATTTGGCATTGTACTAATTTTCATAATTTTATTAGTACACTTTACTTACAAAAGTGCAAAAAAAATGTTACACTTACAATACTGATTTCGTAATGAAATGCCTAGCATAATATCAATTAACCACAAATATAGATATGGTACGTACTCTTTAAAAGAATGTTAAACACAAAGCTTAAAATAAAATAGTATTGTTCATATATTTATAATACAAACAAATATATCTTTAGTAGCTTGTTTAACATATGTGAAAAAAAATACGTTGGGTATATGCTAATTAGACATTTGTTTTGATTTATCATTTTGATTAAATAACTAGGTAATTTAAACATATTTTTTTTTCATATAGAAATGATGTTTTCCTTGTTAAGAGTTATAAATTCATTGAAACATGTTGACATTGTGAAATTAAAAAAAAAAGAATAAAATTTCTGTCTTTTGCAGATTAAACATCTTGTAGATTAAATACCATGTGGCCTTTTGGTAAAGAGAAACCTCCAGGTATAGTATAGTTAATCTTTTTACATGTGTAAAACTCTTGAGATACTTTGGGTTTGATGCTGAGTTTGCACCGACAGTTCAGCCTTTAAAGAAGGAATTACCTCTTATGGAACTACATATATGGTTAATACATAGACTTTTTATCCCACTCCAAAGTTGCCTAGTTTGGGGGTCCCAAGGCCCCCTTTTTCCAAAATACTGGATCCACATTTATACAGAAACCACTGAACTGCTTTGAGTTTTTTGAGAAGTTCCATTCAACAAACTACCAAATATCTTACTCCCAACACCAAATTTTTAGTAGACAAAAACAAAAAGAGATGAACAATCTCTGCAAAATAACAATTTGAGAACAGATAAATATAAACATTTAGAGGAGATAAATCTGTACTTATATTTACAGACAAACATCTACATATATGGAATTCTACTTAAGCCTTTGTTAAAATGTTGTAACATTATGTATAACCCTTATTATAGAAGCATTAATATAAATATCAATACAAATTTACAGTGCTTAATTACATTAAGAAGCCAGCAAAAACTTCTGGGTCAATCAATCATTGATTAAGGTAGCGTTGTAGTCTGGTTCATGACAATGTCAGTGGACATGTATGTAGTACTGATACATTTCAGATTCCATAACAATTAGTTTTCTGGGTTTGGATTCTTTGGAATTTGTTATTCTTTCAAATAGGAAATTGGTGATAGCTTCTCTCTTTCTTTCTTTCTTTCATGGAAAGTATTTTAACTTTTTTAAGGATGTATTCTTCTGATGTTTCAGTCTCATTGAAATCTTGTTCTGGAATTATTTCCAAAACATGTGATACAAGTGGAAAATATCAATGAATCTAAAAAAAGTTATAATCAAACTTAACTATGTGAAAGAATTGTGTTATCTACAATAAGTAGTTTTTGAATTATAAATTTTTCAAATTTTATTACCAATCAAGTCAGTCTTTTTAGCCAAACTTTTGAGAAAATGGATGAGGGGTACAACAAATGATTTTATCAGAAACATGTACATCTAATATCATTTTTTTCATTTCAAATTTCTTAGATATGTATATTTTCAATCATTTATAACAGAGAAGTTGAAATAATATGCATTTTGTTCTTAAAATAGAGAAAAATCACAAATTTACAAAATTGACAGCACGGTAAATTTGACAAGAAATAACATCAAAATATAATAAAACTTTCTTATATTAACACCTACCTATAGTTTTTTAAAGTTAAATTTATACAGAATGGTCCACTTCATCTTTATTGAAAGTATGAAAAAAAGTTTAATTGTGGAACTGTGGTATTTTTCACGATAATAGCCCAAAAATGGGAAAATCATCAAAATTGGGTACTTTCAAAGGGCCGTAGCAAAAAAAGAAGTGCACCACCATATGATTTTTTCTTCACCAATTATTTTTTTACAGTCATATAAACCCAAAAATCAGGTAAAGAAAAAAAAAGTTTAATTCTAAAAAAATTGGCTCCTCAGAGGTGTGCATCCTTAAGGAAGAGTCTCTTAGATTTATTATCAACATATTTGTGTACTTACGGTGATTTAAAGCTTGACATTATTCATGGTAAAGACACTTGTCTGTTATAGAAAACCTCTTAACATCTTTTGGGTTTTTCCTGCTGATTTCCTGTCTTATTGATATCTTGTCTATTCTCATTTAATTATTTTGATGAACCAAGAATGTGGAATTTAAATATAGTTATAATTCATTTTTATACGACCGCAAAAATTAAAAAAATTTTGGTCGTATATTAGTATCACGTTGTCGTCGTCGTCAGCGTCGTCGGAAGACAGATGGTTTCCGGATAATAACTTAAGTATAAGTAAATAGAAATCAATATAATTTTAACACAAGGTTTATAACCACAAAAGGAAGGTTGGGATTGATTTTAGGGGTTATTGCCCCAAAGGTTTAGGAATTAGGGGCCATAAAAGGGGCCCAAATAAGCATTTTTGCAGTTTCCAGACAATAACTTGTGTTTAAGTGTATGAATCTCTCTGAAATTATACAACAAGTTTCCATACAACAAAGGAATGGTTATGGGGGTTATGGCTCAAACCATTTAGCAATTAGGGGCAAAAAAGGGGGAAAAACAAGGGTTTTTATGGTTTAAGGACAATTTAGACAATTTAAAAGCAGTGTAAGGGAGGTAATCCAATCCATTTAAATGATACTGTTGTATATATGTTTGATTACCTCCCTTACACTGCTTGTAAATTATGTATTAAGAAATGATTGTCTTGAGATGATTAGCTGTAAATTTATTTTTAGAAGTTACTATTAATTGATATTAATTATAATCATGACTGTAAGTCATTTTATATTTTAATATTTTATGATGTATTTAAATGAGTAGTTATGGTTGCAAACTCCATTAGAAATTTGAATTGAGATAATTTTTGGAATAAGGGAAAGGGGAGTTGAAAAAAATTTGGGGGGGGGGTAAATAAAAATTTGTGGGGTGGCTACAATTATTCTCATTTCAGATTTCAGAAATTAAAAAGAAAATTTCTTCAAAATATTTTTGTTTTTGGGGGGGGGGGGGGGGTTCATATTCAACAGCATAGTGTATTGCACAAAAGCAAAAAATTGAATATAAATTCAAATCATATAACCAATTTTAAGTTCTTTGACTACAGTTATTCTGTGTCAGAAACCTAGTATGTGTCAAATATTTGATTACAATCCAAATTCAGACCTGTATCAAGCGCGAATATTGTGTCCATTTTTCCCCAACTGTTCAGGGTTGGACCTCTGTGGTCGTATCCAGCTGCGCTCAGCGAAGCATTTTATTTAACATAACAGTATGTAAGAATTCTCATTATTTCAGTTGTTTAGGAAAAGTATCTCTGGAACTGAAAATTGTAATTTTGTGAAAAGGAATGACATTTCATACAATCCTATCGATACTTTTCCTGATCATGTTAAAATTTTCAATAATAATTATTATTGTAATAGTTTGAGACTGTAATACCTTGTTAAGTGTAATAGCTGGAGACTGTAATACCTCGGTAAGTGTAATAGTTGGAGACTGTAATACCTCGCTAAGTGTAATAGCTGGAGACTGTAATACCTTGTCAAGTGTAATAGCTGGAGACTGTAATACCATGTTAAGTGTAATAGCTGGAGACTGTAATACCTTGTAAAGTGTAATAGCTGGAGACTGTAATACCTTGTTAAGTGTAATAGCTGGAGACTGTAATACCTCGTTTAGTGTAATAGCTGGAGACTGTAATACCTTGTTAAGTGTAATAGCTGGAGACTGTAATACCTCGTTAAGTGTAATAGCTGGAGACTGTAATACCTTGTTAACTGTAATAGCTGGAGACTGTAATACCTTGTTACACTGTAAAAATTGTGCTTAGAATTTAAACGTGTTGCAAGACTTATGTGCTTAGAAAAGTGTTTAATTTCTAATCATAAAAAAATAAATATGTTTTGGCTCTCAGCACTTCGCAAGAAACATGTTTTGGCTCTCAGCACTTTTCAATAAACATGTTGCTGTGCTAAACATGTTTAGCTACTTTGTCAAGTATATAAAGCTAAACGTGTTTAAATTCTAAGCACTTTTAATATTTAGGCACTTTCCTAAACACGTTTAGAATTACAACACATTTAGGCCGAATACGGCATTCATATCACGTGCTAATTTTTGAGCGGGAAGAAGAAACAAAGAACCCGAAGTCAAAGGCCACGCTGTTTACTTCTGACCATAAATGACCGTAACTTGACTGTTTCAGAAAGGTAAGGAGTTATGATTATACTGTCTTTTATTTTGTACTGCCAATTTCAACTGATTATTGACAGTTATAAGCATTATTTACAAGTACACTACCGTATAGTCAATGCAGGAGAGAAAAGGGGGTACCATCCCACGAAACAAGTGCTTGTAAGAGCTTTAAGTGTTCAAACTATCTTGTGTATAGATGATAAGAGTTGTTAAATGTTCTATCATGCAAGTTTGCATTTATTTTTTTATTTATATATGTTCTTGGAAAGGAGTTTGTGAGGATAATTTTCGTTCGGTACTCCTCGGCAGATTATAATGGAACATGAAGGGTAGCGGAATCTGCCGAGTCTTATCAGGATGAGGTGCATCATTCGCAAATCCAGTGTCATATCGAGTTCATTGTTTTCGTAAGCACTTCCGATATGCACAATCAACATTTCCTCAAAATAAATAGAAAGATGCTTGTTTATTTCAATAGTTATAAGCGGTTGTGATTTTTTTTATAATTTTATTGATATGTATTGTTTTATTTTAGATGAGAAAAGTGCAGAGGAAATCATCATCTGTCTTGGCATGCTAAAAGAGGAGATAAAGAACAGTAGCAAATATGCTGCTAGGTAAGAATCAAAAGTGTATTTGATTTTAAAAATGCCAATATATATTTGATCAAATGAATAATATTAAGCATGAAAAGAAGTTTTATATTAAAAAATATCAATTAATTCATCAGTAAATTTATGTTTTTATACCACGGTCCTAATGTCGTTATCTGGATCTTAAATCATGCTTTTACTTTTTGGTGTTGTAGTTCGTATTCTTATATTTTTAGATTAATTCTACTTAGTTGCTAATCAATATTTTTCTATATTTCAGGCCATTGACCAGCAGTTGGGTACTAAGAAAGGAGAAGCTCTTATTGGCCTGTAAAATGAAAACAGGACATTTTCAAATTGTTTTGTTGTAAGGATGGGGTACAAGTAGAAGATTGGTCAATATTATGTACATGTACCTTGATATGAATTTATTTTTGATTGTGTTCAATGATAAACTGGAAATAAATGATAACATAAACTCCTTTGTTTTATATGTTGTAATTTTGTTTTTAAAGCTAGAATTAGTATAATGATAATTTCATTTCAAAAGTTCTAGACTGTTTTACGAATATTTGAAATGAAGAAAAAATGCAATAGTCGAATGACGTGAATTGAATTAAAGAAAAAACTCATTGAGATTGAAAAGGTATTGGTCACATTCAATTTGATATGGAAATTCCAGTTTCTTAGTTTGATGCATTGGCTCCTTTTTGTGATGGTATGAAAACCTGTTTTATTGAGAGCTATCATACGTTTTAAAGTCAAGCCTTCCGGAATATTAGTTTAATTGGGGCCTAATGAAGTAACGGCTTCTCACAATAAAATGATAAACATGTTTCTTCACGACCCTTTATGGTCTAAACATGTTTACATTCAAAACACTTCACAGCTAAACGTGTTTCCAGACAAAACACTTCTCAGCTAAACATGTTTCCAGATACAACAATTCACAGCTAAACATGTTTACAGTCTAAGCACTTTTTAGCTAAACGTGTTTCTAGTCTCAACGCTTTACAGCTAAACATGTTTACAGTCTAAGCACTTTATAGCTTGACACGTTTAGGCTGTTAGCACATTAAATATTAAACATGTTTAGATTTAAAACATGTCAAAAATCGGTTTCATAAATGTGTTTATGAAAGTGTTTAGGCTCTAAACACATTTTTTAGAGTGTAAGTGTAATAGCTGGAGACTGTAATACCTCGTTAAGTGTAATACCTTGTCAAGTGTAATAGCTGGAGACTGTAATACCTCGTTAAGTGTAATAGCTGGAGACTGTAATACCTTGTTAAGTGTAATAGCTGGAGACTGTAATACCTTGTTAAGTGTAATAGCTGGAGACTGTAATACCTGTGAGCATAATTAAGCTTGATGAATAATTTACTTTATGTACTTTTAAAAGTTATAAGTTATATATAGCTTTTCAAATGCATATACAACTCATTGGCTCTAGTTGTCATGAATCAGCCAATTTTGTTACCTAAAACTCAGCGTATGAGCAATTAAATAAAGTTTAGTACAAATTATATTGAGTTATGTAATTTCCATTGCTCTTTTTTCCAAAAATTTAACACATTGTTATAAAGATCACATAGATTCTTAGTCATCATGTGATATCGATTAAGTCTATCTGAGTCATCATGTGATATTGGTCGAGTCATTATGTGATATTGATCAAGTCATCATGTGATATTGATCAATAAAATTTAGAATGGAAATGGGGAATGTGTCAGAGAGACAACATTGAACCCGACAAAAGAGCAGAAAACAGCCGAAGGTCACCAATGGGTCTTCAACACAGCGAGAAAATCCCGCATCCAGAGGCAGGCTTCAACTGGCTCTTATGTCTCCATGTGATATTTATAAAGTCATCATGTGACATGACCAATTATTATTAGATACAAATGTACTATTTTCCCTTTCATTGATTTTCAAAACTTTATTTTAAATGTCACTGTTGAATTTTTAATTTAGAATGTTGTTTATTGAACAGAGTTTTTTGTTGTTGTAAGTTTTGATGTTAATTGTGATAACAGCCCATTTTCAAAGTACTCATGTACTTTATCAATTTATGGAAATAATTATTTCATTCTTGAGAAAATTAAACCCTTTGGTTAAACAAAATACAAAATACTAGTCTAATCTCTAGTTCAGAAAACAATGTGCATGATGTGGGAGATGAAAAGAGAATTGCTCACAACACCTTTATAATTGAATAGTTTTAATTCTCTTGGATTGAACATAGGGATATTATTATGAAAATGTCAATTTAAAGTCAGTTTCATTAATAGCTAAATATTTAATGAAATCAGGTGAATCAAACAAAAGTTTCAGAGTTTAATTGGATGTATGACATGGAAGATTTTTCTCTAGAAGTCCTTGAATTAAAATAAGTGGACTACATGGGACGCTTAACTGGATGAAAATTAGATGAATTTATGTCCAGTCAACTGTGGCAAATACTTCACGCCTAATCAAACAATATATCAAAAAAGTACCGTCTGCAAATGGATTTCTTGTGATGAAGGTTAGGAAATTTGAATCCTATTTTTATGGCTAGAATTCACAATTAACTTGTAGCCATATTGCATTATCAATCAAGACTATCATTATATTTCCATTTTTGTGAAGACCTATATTTGGGAGTTTAAGAAATATAACCAATAAGGGTCCATTTTTAGCTCACCTAGCCTAAAAAGCCAAGTGAGATTTTCTCATCACTTGGCGTCCGTTGTCTGTCGTCGTCCGTCCACGTTAACTTTTACAAAAATCTTCTCCTCTTAACCAAACTTGGCCACAATCATCATTGGGGTATCTAGTTTAAAAAAGGTGTCCGATGATCTGGCCCGCCAACTTACTGGCAGACATGGCTAAAAATAGAACATAGGAGTAAAATGCAGATTTTGGCTTATATCTCTTAAACTAAAGCATTAAGAGCAAATCTGACGGGATAAAAATGTTCATCAGGTTAAGATCTATTTGCCCTGAAATTTTCAGACAAATCAGACAACCCATAGTTGGGTTGCTGCCCCTGAATTGGTAAATTTAAGGAAATTTTGCAGTTTTTATACGACCGCAAAAAATTTCGTATATTGGTATGACGTTGGCGTTGTCGTCGTCGTCTGAAGACACAATGGTTTTCGCACAATAACTTTAGTTTAAGTGAATGGATCTCTATGAAATTTTACCATAAGGTTCAATACCACAAAAGGAAGGTTGGGATTGATTTTGGGGGTTATGGTACCAACAGTTAAGGAAATAGGGACCAAAAGGGGCCAAAAATAAGCATTTTTGTAACTTCCAGACAATAACTTGTGTGTTAGTGTATGGATCTCTCTGACATTGTACCACAAGGTTTCATATTACAAAGGGAATGCTGGTATTGATTTTGGGGGTAATTGCCTCAAAATTTTAGGAGTAAGGGGCCAAAAAAGGGGCAGAAAACAAGCATTTTTCTAGTTTCATGACGATAACTTGTGTGTAAGTGTTTGGATCTTTCTAAAATTGTACTACAAGGTTCTGTATCACAAAGGGAAAGCTGGGTTTGAGTTTGGGGGTAATTGCCCTAAACGTTTAGGAATTTGGGGCCAAAAGGGGCCAAAAAAAAGCATTTTTCTAGTTTCCAGACAATAACTTGTGTTCAAGTGTATGGATCTCTCTGAAAATATACTGCAAGGTACCATACCACAAAGGGAAGGCTGGGATTGAGTTTGGGGTGATGCATCATAAGGGGGTTCAAAAAATTTGGGGGGGGGGATTTTTTTTTCTATTTTAAGACTTTTATGATGTATTTAAATTGGTAGTTATGGTTGCAAACTCCATTGGAAATTGGAATTGAGATTATGACCATATCTTGAGGGAAAGACTTTTTTTTTTGGAAAAGGGGTTGGAGGGGGGAGGTGAAAAAAAAATTTAGGGGGGGGGGGAAGAAATTGTGGGGGCAATTTTTTTTTCATTTCAGATTTCAGAAATTAAAAGAAAATTTCTTCAAATATTATTTCTTTTTGCCATAACAGCATAGTGTATTGCACAAAAGCAAAAAATTGAATATAAATTCAGATCATATAACCAATTCTAAGTTCTTTGACTACTGTTATATGGTGTCAGAAACCTATTATGTGTCAAATATTTATTTACAATCCAAATTCAGACCTGTATCAAGCGCGAATATTGTGTCCATTTTTGCCCCAAATGTTCAGGGTTGGACCTCTGCGGTCGTATCCAGCTGCGCTCAGCGAAGCATTTTATTCTTAAATTGTTAAACATTTCACAGCGGTATAACATGTTATTCTTCCCTTAGTTTATTTATTTTGTATTTGCATTGTATCATAGATCAAATTTATTTGTTCAGTGTATGTTCACCGGTGTTAATATGTCTTTTGATTGAGTTAAGCCATTTCAATTGATATTTTATCGTGTGTTTTTCTATGTTGTGATGTTACACTATTGTTTCAGATAAGGGTGAAGGTTTGGTACCATTAAAACGTTTAAACCCGCTGCAATTGTTTGCACCTGTCCTAAGTCAGGAATCTGATGTTCAGTAGTTGTCGTTTGTTGATGTGGTTCATAATTAAGTGTTTCTCGTTTTTTATATAGATTAGACCGTTGGTTTTCCCGTTTGAATGGTTTTACACTAGTAATTTTTGGGACCCTTTATAGCTTGCTGTTCGGTGTGAGCCAAGGCTCTGTGTTGAAGACCGTACTTTGACCTATAATGGTTTACTTTTATAAATTTTGACTTGGATGGAGGGTTGTCTCATTGGCACTCATTCCACATCTTCTTATATCTATTGAGTAATTTGATCTGAAATTTGTGATATCTGCAGTGGGAAGTGGTGGGATTTACAAGCTGCATGTCCTGACTTTTCGTCCAAAACTAGTTTCCTTATGCTAAATTTTGAAGTTCCATTGTGTTGGCTGATTGAGTGATAAACATGGTATCTATGTCACTAGATAAACTAACAAATGTAATTTAAAAAAAAATTCGAGTTTATTAGCTGGGTACAATACTAGAAATCATGGTATTCACAAAAGAATTATATCATACTAGAAATCTACTTTATTTCTGATTATATATTCGATGCAATTTCCATAATATGTTTAATTATTACATCCATGCACGAATTCCGATTCTTTGAAAGTTACAGCTGGGACTATTATACTATAATATATTATGTCCCAGGCTAAGGACATCATGTTAAAGTTACGGACATCCCGTTAAAGTTACAGACATCCCTATTGGTATAATGAAAAAAGTTACGGACAAGTTGTTTTCAAGTTACGGACATCCTAAGTGTTTTCGAAAATCGTAATGTGATCGTTTATTTTGCAGTATTTAATCATCTTTTATGTGTAGGTGTTTCCCTAAAAGATTGATACAACTTTTTAATTACTGAACATTTGTGTTGTTTTCATTGTATTGTTATTATATAGGAGAGAAGTTTCTTACCGAAGCCAGGCGGCTCCATCTTGGGCTGTGGGTAACTTAAGTTACCCACAGCCGTTTAAGCACAGTGAACTGTGACTGAGTACACAATTTGATTCATTTTATCTCATTAGCTGGGCTCACTCGCTAAAAAGGTTCATTGCGGGCCTGCTCACTGGCTAACATTTTTGATATTCATGACTCGTGAAGAAAAGCCGATAATCTATACATGTGTGTGAGAAGTAGTTATCAAGCTTCCTCTCGTCTGTAAAGACTGTCTTAGGCCAAGTTAGGGAGGTGAAAAAGCCAGAAATAGAACGATAAACAGATGATCAGGTTTTCTTCATATAGATCCCTTACAATATCCCCCACTGAGGACACAATTTGATTCATTTTAGCTCATTAGCTGCGCTGACTCGCCATAATAGGTTCATTGCGGCTTACTGGCTAATATGTGTAGAAAAGCTGATAACCTATACATACATGTACATGTATATGGTCAGATCATATGTTTTCGTACATCATATGAATTTGTACTATGCATGCCTTTCAATGGAAATTGTGACGACAGTATGCATTCTTAATAGCACGAAAAATGATCAGAAGAGGATACATATGTCAACCAAAATTTTTCAGCAACGTCAAAATATGTGAGGACACCCTATCAAGATCTATCAAGCTTGTGTTCATGTTGCGTTAAAACTGTTTTAGGAAGGTGAAAAATACCAACAACATAACAATAAATAGATAATCGATATTGTAAAATATCAATGTGTTGAAAAGCCAATGATCTACATATATACTTAAATATGTCAATCATAAAATAAAACTGATTTAATTTACACCACAACTGTTGAAAAAACCTTTATGTTTATATAACTTATCTCATTCTAGTCCATTCAACTGACAGAATTGGTGTACATTTCA